CTGCCACCTCTGCCTTCCTCTGTCCCTCTTATGTGCGCCCCCTCGCCCCACACCTCCACGCAGAAGGCAGCCTGGAATTCGCCACGAGGCAAATATGCCTCGGTAGCAACCCTGTCAGCAGCTGCAGGAGCTGCTAAGGAGTTCCCGCCCAGGAGTTTGAGGAAGGCTTAGGTTTTGCTGCTCTGGTTCCTGGCGCTCATCTTAGCCCTTCCCAGCAGCAGGAAAGGGCACCCAGCCCCATCAGGCAAAGGGTGGAGAGAAGAGCTCCAGTCACTGACTGCCATTATGAGAAGTGAGGGCTGATTATATTATAGCCCCAGGAGGGAGAGGACAGAGGTATGAAACTCAATCTCACTTGGTGTGGCGGCACATGCCAGCAGTCCCAAACCGTGAGGATGATGAGACTAGTTCCACCTGGGCCACTTCTCAGGCCCCTGTGTCAGGAAGGGAAGCAGGGGAAGAGGGAAAGGTAGCTTGAGGTGTAGTTCAGTGGTAGAGCATCAGTGCTGCCAGAAAAAAACTCAGACTCAAGTTTTTCAGTTTTCGAAAAAGCTGATTTAAGTTCTGAATAGGTGATACCGGTCTCTCCCTCCCATCACCTGGTCCTTACCCTCACAAATAGGTAGCTCTATTGCTAGAGTGTTAGCTAATCTTCCTGAGATGACAATATATAAAAACAAATATGAATAGCCCTTTCCCCCCTTTTACAACCCAATAAAATGCTGCATATGAAAGTGTTCTACCTTGCTTTTGTTTTTTCATTTAACATGGTTTTTCTCTACACTATTTTCCCACAAAAGCCTAGTGCTTTTTGATAGGTGTGTTAGAGTTTACTTGAGCAGTCTCCTGGGGTCTTTCTGAATTGCTCAAACAATAGAGCTCCAAACAATACAGTGATGGATAACTTTGTTCATGTGTCATTCTGCAAGTGCATAAGTATATCTGTGGGATAAATTCAAGAAATTAGTGGCATCACATGGTACCTAGACTGTAGTTTCGATGGATGCTGCCACATGGCCTGCCTCTGTGAGAGACTCAGCTGGGTTTCTGTGAGCAGTGCAAGAGAATGCCTGTCCTCTGCACCCTGCCTGAAATATGTTGGCCTTTTTGCTAATCTCACCCATGAAAAAGAAATGGGTCCCAGTGTAGTTTTAAGTGTAGCGCATCATTGGAAGTTGAAACTTTTGAGTGTTTGGTTTTTCTGTTGTTTTTGTTTTTTATTTTTTTTAAACTCTGTTTTACCCATTTTGCCTTTTAGTTTTTGGTCTTTTTCCACATCAAGAGGGATATCCCCTCTTAGCAGTATGGGATACAAATATTCTCTTCCCAATATGTAGTTTGCTTTTTAACTGTGTTTTTGATCTTAGATTTTATGTAATAATTTATCCATATTTTCCTTATATTCTAGATTTTGAGTAATAGATCTGCATTGTGAAGTTACTCCTTTGAAGTACATATGTGAGTTTACATTATAATAGTAAATTCTTAAATTGCTGGGGATTTAATCTGGTTAATAATGGGATTTCTGAGCCAACATTTTCTTTCTAGCGGGCTGCAACAATTTCAGAAGTAGTGCATTATGGGGCTGATTAGTAACACATGACACCTCACTAGATTCTTTTTTTTTTTTTTTTTGGTTTTTCTCCGGTACCAGGAACCGAACTCACGAGCTTGCGCTTGCCAGGCAGGCGCTTTGCCGCTGAGCTAAATC